GAATCAATTTAATTATCCCATCTCCTATCCCAGAGTCAACTCTCTTGTGCACACCTACGCATAGACTACTGCTGATACTCGATTCGAATGCCAAAACCTACGCCTTGGTCTTACAACGATGCCCAGCCAGTAGGAGTAATCTACCCCGCCCGGCCAAGACCTACGAATTGGTCTTCCAAAGCGGAGATCACCAGCCGTGGCCTACGCCCCGATCTTACGGCCATACATAAAATAATATAAAGGAGACTACCCATCGGGTACGTTCTATAGCTACGGGGATAACCGTTTGACGGCTGGTACAACTCACGTCGAAGGCTACATGGTTCCACATGCATACTTTGATCATACCATAATTAAAACAGTAATAACATTTAAGGCATAGCAATTTTTCAAATTAAACCCACAAGTTATACGTTTATAACATTTACAGCATAGCAAATTTTAAATAAAACCCACCTGGATATAGCAAGAGGTTAGCCAAACACAGAGTTGAAGGAATTATGGCACAAGTTCAGCTCGAAGGATTTACAACAATTTATAAGGATCTATCACTGACTGCCCAAAACAAAACAACACGTAAGGCACATATACTTAGCCGAAATCATATCGACTAAGTGACTCGTGGATTCCTTGACCGAGTTAGGTACTATGGAGTGACTACGAGACCTGGACACAACTCAAATACTTCATATAATACACATAAGTCATGCCAACATCAACAAAATCCAATCCTAACCTAAACAACCGATAATTGAACATTAATACTCCAAAATAAACAAAATTCAGAATCAGGAGTTAGGCTCAGCCATTCAACCTGAAACTTTACCACATTATAAGGCATATAAAAACACATAAACTCACCAAGTTTCAGCCCTAAATTCATCCGGTAACATTTTTAAATGATTAAAGAAAAAATAGCACCAAAATCAGCATTTAATAGTTCGCATAGCTACACTTCGAGTTTCAGTGTGAAATTTTTACACAACCTAAAACATCATAAAATATCAGGTTCCTGAAAGTTTCAGCTCAAAACTCCATGTTTACGATTTGTAATGAATTTCACAATTTTCTGCTCAGAAACCGTTTTAAGCATTTGAACTCTAAAAACTCAAAAGTAAATTCAGGGGCTTGGCACAAACATTTCACATACCCAGGGGCATAGCATATCAAAAATTCAGATCAAACGGATAACGACTCGCTTTATGGTGAATTTATTACGATTCAGCAGCATGCTCGGTTTAGAAAAATCATAACTCTCAAAATACAACTCGAAACGACTTCAAACCAAAACTAATAGATCAAGGACAACTCCAAGTACCTATAACTCCAGAATTTCCACGAAATGAACTACATATATTCATTTCGACAATAATTCAAAGTAACGGCAATCACTTTGATATCCAAATTGCAAAATATATATACATATACATCAAAATTCTCATGGGCACTAATTAATTTAGGCATTAACACATGAATTCACATAACACATTCGACAACCAAATAAACACATATCATAAACGGGACGAGTTGAGCCTTGTATCGTTCTCGGGATTCGTTCGAAAACGGGACGTAGGGTTCGATTGGCAACACAAGGCGGCTCGCTTGTCGGAAAACGAAGGGCTGCCCGTCGTCAAGGCTCGCTGTTGGGATGCTCGCGGCTTACAGCGACGGAGGGCTACTCGCCGATGAGGAGTCGGCTGTTCGGTGCAGGGCTGCGCTAGCGGAAGTGGCCGTCGAAGCTTGTCGGAGATGGAGGATTCGCCGCAATAACTTAGCGGCTTTCAGCGATGGAGGAAGGCGATGGCTCGCAGCGGCTCGTCGCGGAGGTTGATGCTCACAGGAATTGCTGCGTTGCGGAAGGTCGGCTTGCCGGAGTTCGCTGCTGGCTCACGCACTCGCCGGCGAAAGAAGAACTCGCGGCGGATGGTCGAGTTGCAGGGTTCTCGCGGGGGTTGGTGTTCGTCGGACTTGCAGCAGGGGTCGCCGGAGTTCTTGAGATGATGGCGGAGATGGCGTCCGGAGATGGTGAAGCCGATGGCGACGATGATGGTTAGCGAGGGTGGGGAAAGGTGATGGATGACGATACTGCGATGAAGAGGGTTGATCAAGAGAAAATCAGAGAAGGGGAAGGTGATGGTGACGGAAAATCAGAGAATGGGAAGGTGATGGATGACGATACTGCGATGAAGAGGGTTGATCAAGATTTACGAGAGAAAAATTCTTTTATCTCTGAGGTCGCGATCGGACATACGCGAAGGAAAGGGAAAAGCTGCGGTCTCTGCTCAAGAGAAAGACGAACGAGTGAGATGCAATTATCTTAGGGTTATTGTCTTGACCCACAAGACATACTTAACCCACACACGCGGGTCGGACTTGGGCCGGGTTATCGGGCTCGCGGGTTTGGTTAAATGAAACGTATCGGGTCTCGGGCCCGACTACATAGAAGTAATACGGATTTCTCGGCTCGGTAATTTAATTCGCACAAATAAATAAATAAACTAAATATAATATATATATATATATATATAGATAATACACAATTTAAAATTTTAAGAAAATAATAATAATACTAGTAAAAATACAATTATACATTTTTAATTAAATATATATCATTAAGGCAAATTGGGCAATTAATTCAATATTTAGACAGTCAAGCAATTTGACAACTAGAACATATTTGACAATTAATAACTTATAGAATTCCAACAAATAATATTATTAATAACACATAAATATAAATAATAATAATAATAATATTAATAATTAATCCTCAAAATTCTATAATTCAAACGGGGCATTACATATATCCTCCTGCATTCTTTGACGTCATGGTTCACTTGTCAATCCATTTACCGAATGAGGCATTGATAGGTGGCCTAGTTCAATTTAGATGGATGTTTCCAATTGAGCGGTAATTCATATTAAACTATGAGCTTCTTATTTATAACTTCTTCTTGTCAATGTTTTTAATAATATTGTTTTTTTTTTTTTAGATTTTTGGGCGACTTGAAGCAAGGTGTAACTAATAAACCTCATCCAGAAGGATCCATTGCAGAAACATACATTGCAAAGGAGTCGTTAACTTTTTGCTCCATGTACTTGCGGGGAATTGAGACTAGATTTAACAGAAATGATAGAAATTGTGATATAACAGTTGATGATAGTCTATCAATCTTTTCTGCAAAATGTCGCCCCTTTGGAGCAACAACACTTGTCGAATTCTCAATCGAATTCTCAAAGGAAGAGTTTGACACGGTACAATGGTTTGTCTTTCAGAACTGTGCAGAGGTTCAACCTTATATTGAGTAAGTATAATATTATATTTTATATATACATATAATATTATTACACTTTATTTTTTCTTAAATACTTATATTCAATGCAGGAAGCACATACAGGAGCTATTATTAGGTGGTTGTGAAAACATAAACCAAGAGCATAGAGAAAAATTTCCTTCGTGGTTGAGAAAACATGTAAAGGCCTTGCAAATACAAAATATTTCATCGTCTTATCTTTCCTCATTCTTTTCATTTTAATTAATTTTTTATTTAATTAGTTGATATTTTATCTTATTTAGAGACCCATTCGTATCATGAGAATCCAACACAAGCAAATGAATCTTTGTATTCACTTGCATGTGCCCCAAGCAAATGTGATAGAAAGTACGCTGGATGTCTTGTCAATGGCGTAAGATTTCTAACGAAAGACCGTGATAGTCGTCTTAATACCCAAAATAGCGGTATCTCTGTGGAGGGTAACCACGGTGAAGATACAATTGAATTTTATGGTACTGTATCTGATGTAATTCAGCTTGACTATGTGAAAGATAGGCATATTACCATATTCAAATGTGAATGGTTTGATCTTGGGGGCAAAAAACAAAAAAGGGTTACAAAAAGAGGGCAATGTTCTGAGTGTTCGGATTACCAAAAGATGGTATGAGAACGACTCTTACATATTAGCTAATCAAGCTAGACAAGTTTTCTACATTAGTTATCCTAAATTAGGAAGTGACTGGCGAGTAGTGCTACCATTTCAGCATAGGCATGTCTATGATGTTGATGAGATGCCAGATGATGAAATAAGCCTTAATGATTTGTTTTATGTTGAAGATGGGGCATACCAAGAGAATGAAGCAAATGATGCACTTGAAGTTAGTGTTGATGAATTAGAATCACTAGGTAGGAATGACGTGGATTCTCAAGATATTGAGGAATCAATGATAGAAACACTACCGGATGTTGCAGAGCTCGTAAACATAGATGATGTCATTGAAGAAGATGAGCCCGATGACACATTGGTCGACTATGGTAGTAGTGTAGAAGATTCTGAAAGAAGCAACACTTTTGATAGTGATGACGACATTGACTGGTATGGTTGTGACTTGTGATATTAATGATTGGTCATTCTAATATTGTATTCCAAATATGTGTTAGCATGTGCTTTATCTGTTGCTTGTCTTTTGATGATGCGTAATATTTCTATGCAAGCACGAAAATTCGGGGTGAGAGCTGCGAGTCTTTCCAGTCCAAGAGCAGCCAGATGAATCTTCTTCTTCTTCTTCTTCTTCTTCTTCTTCTTTTCTTTCTTTCTTTCTTTTTTTTTTCTTCTTTCAACTTTGTTGGGTGGGTAATTCAAAAGGAATATTGCTTCTTGTTTGGGTTTAAAACAGAGAAAGAAAAGTAAAAGATAAACCATGTCAATCCAAAGAGACATGATTGCACTTTGACAAACAGAGGACTTTGCGTCTTTGAATATGTATAATTATTAATTAATATATTTTATGTGGGTCATGTAGAGAGAAAAAAGAGTGGTAGTGTGTGTGTGTGTGTGGAGAAAAGAAAAAATACAGTCTAAGCTTATAAATCATATCTTTGGTGATGCAGTCTAAGTGATGTCTTTTTAGATTCTGAACCATTGAGGGCTCTAATTTATGTTCATAATCTATGCTGAGGGGAGTGCAGTGTTTGGACTTTGGACATTGAGGTAAAGTGATGTCTTTTTATCTATGCCGCCGCCTCCTGAGCCGACTCTCCATAGACAAAGCCCTCCTCCACCTCCCGTCGCTCGCCAAATCCTCTCCCTTCTCCGCTGTCTTCTCTCCAAATCCCTCCTCTTCATGGACTCTCTCCTCTTCTCCAACGACGACGATGATGTCGCTCTCTCCACTTTCGACCACTCTTTCCTCCCCCTTCCTTCTCCGACCCCGGCGAGTCCCTCTTCCTCGTCCTCTTCAGGTTTTTCTGCCGCCCTTTTTGTGAATGAACCCTGCTACTTCCTTTTTCTTTTTCTGAAATTGATGTTTAATTGTTGTGAATGATGGTGCAGGTGGTGGAATGATGCCATGTGCGGCGTTTGCAGGCTCGAGGGCGCGGATGGAGTCCGCGGTGTTTTGTATAATGCGATGGTGCAATTGACCGGTGGTGGGGTGGGGGATGGCTGAGAGGGAGATTTTATTGGGGGTTTTAGGGATTCTGAGATTTTGGTGAATATGAAGAGGGAAGAGGAGGCTGAGGCTAGTGGGGAAGAAGGGGTCTCCAGCGGTAGTGGGGATTTGGCTCTTAAATGGTGAGAGTGACTGATTTTAGTACGTGTAATTTTGATTTCGGTTTACTTTTTTATGTCACGTGCGGGCAAATGTGGGTTTGTTTTGAAGTTGTAGTTATATTTCCGTTGGTGTTGAAGTGAACACTAGTGTTAAGCTTGTAATTATATGGTTACGGTTACTTTGAGACAATTGTAAGTGTTGGTGTTTTCGATTTTCATGTTGTTTGTGGATATTGGAATTCAAATTGCTGTAATTCCTTATTTTATTCGTGTAGTATTTGTTGCAGTCTGAATCTGGACTGGCAAGATATACTTAATAATTGTTTGATGCTTTTTCCTTTTCTACTGTAGGCATTTTGAGAGGGGGAATGTGGAAAGTTCATATCCTGGAGGCGATAGTGCACACGATTTATTCTCTTTGAAGATTAGACTTTTATTTATGAGTGAAGAAAGACATATTTGGTCATTAAGGTTAGCGAAAAGGAGCGGATCCAGCCTCCTTTTTTCTATATGTTCAACCATTACACGATGTGGTTTTTGTACTTCTATCTGTAGAATTCTATTAGACAAACTCCTTGCCAAATTTGTGAGAGAGCCTATTTTATTTTTTATTTTATTTTATTTTATTGATTGCGAATTGTGACAAATGTTAAATGGGGGATGAAGATGATGACCTGCAAAATTAAAATTCTAATTCACGATTATCATGTTGTTTTGATTCACACCTTCAGTTACACCTTATTAAAATAAATTTTATTTCATATAATATGAAAAGACAAATTAAGGGGTACAAGATGCGAATATCTGTGAATTATACGTGAGCAAAGTTACACCTTCAGTTACACTTTTTGTATGTTCGTCACAAAACAAAGTTATATAATGACGCATTATATATGAACGTCATTTTAAATACAAATAAAAACAACGATTTTTTATCGTCGCTGTAAATTTCATCAGATAAGTATTATTGTGACGAATATAAATATATTATAACATATCGTCACAAAATAAAATTATATGATGACGAATTATACGTATGCGTCATAAATACAATAAAAACACAACGATTTTGATTCGTCACAGTGAATTTCGCCATAATATGTTTAAAATTTAGATGTATTACAATTTATCGTCACAAAAGAAAATTATATAATGACGAATGTTTTATATGCGTCATTTTAAATACGAACAAAAACAACGAATTTGTTTTCGTCATAGTAAATTTCGTCATAATATGTATTAATGTGACGAATTTAGATGTATTATAATGTATCGTCACAATACATAATTATATAATGACGAATTAGTCGTAAGCGTCACTTTAAATAGCAGCAACAGTGACGACAGTTTGTTTGTCACATTTAATTTCGTCACATTTCACATACATGTGACGAATTTAGATGTATAGGTGACGAATTGAGGCGCATTGTCATATAAAAATCCATTATGTGACGAAAAAAGAATTCTAAGATGACGAATATAGGAGTCATCGCCGTATGCAATGGTATAATGACGATTTAATAAATTCGTCACTATAAACATACGGTGACGATTTTTGTTTCGTCACATGAATTTTCGTCACTGTTTGGCAGATTTCTGGTAGTGATGCTTCTTCGCCCTCGCTCGATCGTATGCCAAGAAGTCCACCTCCGACTCCTCCATGTTCATATACTTGGCACAACTCTCCAACAGTTCATCATATGACCTTGCAGGCTTCTTAGCTAAAGAGTTCCTGCAATGTCCTGCCTTCAAACCTCGTGTGAGCCCCCCCGCTCTGATCTCTTCCGTTGCAGTGGGAACCTCTACACAAGCTCGCGTGTACCTAGCAACATAATCCCGCAGCGACTCATTCTCACGTTGTTGTAAATTGATCAATGAGAGGTAGGTCTTCTCCTACTTCCTTGCACTAGAGAACTGATTGATAAATAGCGAACTAAATGACCCAGAGCTATAGACAGATCCTGGTGGGAGCTGGTGGAACCAATCATGAGCAGAGCCCTTCAAAGTCGTCAGAAAAGCCCTGCAACATACTCCGTCACTATAACGATGCAACACCGCCACATTCTCAAAGCTTCTCAAGTGTCAAGTCGGGTCTGATGAGCCATCGTAGTATAGGTTAGGCTCCTTGAAATTCTGAGGCAACTCCGCACCCAAAACCTCCTCAGTAAATTGATTACCCTGCAACCTGGGCAGCCGTCTCCCGTCCAACCTAGCTTGCATCTCCTTAATCTGGTTTGCCATCTGCTCCAACACTGCGTCTCTAGGTGGCCCATTAACCATCGGAGACATCACTGACCTCTCCTCTTGCTCTTCCCTTCGCTGGCTACCGCCACCCATCGCCCTAGGAACCACCAGAACGTGCTGCTCCACCACCGGGTTGATTATCGGCCCACTTTGCTCTAAACGACCTCCGCCCTGCTCCGGCTGCGCCACCACCACAACATTTCTCACCACCTCTGCCTGTGCTCGCGCAACCAGAGCTCTAATAACCGCCTCCGCTATAAGACGGTCCAACTCCGTCCTGGTCACCCTCATCTCAGGCTCCCTCCTCCCTGCACGACGCCTGGCCCCGGTGTCTGCACAATCACCTCCTGGCTTCTTCTCTGCTCCGCCACCGAGATCTGGCTCACCACTTGCAGATTCACTTGAGGGATAGCCGTTGGACCCTCACCTCCAGTCCACCCCACTAGTGGTCCTCCTCCGTAGGGCGTTTGCGTGACCTAAGCCTCCTCCAGGTTCACGTCCAAATTCCTCCTCAATGGTTGCTCTTCTCCGATCGTCGTTTCCATCTTAACCTTACTGTCAATCAGTAGAGTAACTGAGTTACACCACTAGACGGCGCCAATTGATGTGCTTCTGCACTTGAACCGGCCTCTCTCCAATCCTCGACCGCTCCAAGACCTGCAAAGACGCCGGGAGGTGCTCCCGGCAGAAAACCTCCGATGCTCAAGTCAGTAAGAGATCCAAGATAGAAGAAAGCTGTGTAGAGAATTTAGGGTTTGTCGATTGATTCACCTTACCTCCACCAATGGTTTACCTATTTTTATGAAGTTACTAGCTTGTTCCCTATGCTTTGCTTCTCCTCCATTGGATCTATTATTCCATCTTTGATCCTGACCTTACACGTGTCCCTTGTGGACCTGATTTGATAACTGTTGCATCTACTCAGCTCTCGACAAGCTTTCTAAGCCTAAAATCTGTTGATGAGTTGTTGTTGCTACTAGACCAAGTCCAAATAAGACCGAGCTCCTAATGTAACTATACAACCGAGCTACAACCATGTCCACAAGGCCAAGCTACTACAAGGTCCATTAGACCGAGCTCCTACAAGGTCCATTAGTCCAATGTAGCTATAAGACCAAGCTCCTGCTGCTACCTAAACCAAGCTGCTACTTCGCTAGAGCTAATCTCCTAACTCCAACCTTACAAAAACGAGCAGCTTTTGCCGGTCCACCGACTCATTACTAGGTGCTACATCACGATCGTTGCTCAATATTTCATTAGACCTAAACTACCTTAGGTTAAGGAGAAGTTTATTTACCTATTAAACAAAGACCAGGGTTGGAGATTCCAGACCATGATGCCTCCCACCTAGTCAAATCTTTGATAATTTAATCACACAAAAGTTTGACATAGAGAGTAACAACTCATGAGGGTTTATATCTTTGATATAGTCTCATATATTACTTTGTCAAAGAGTAAAAATTGGGGATTACTGTGTGGAGCCATATGAGGATTAGTGAAACTGAAATCAAGAAATTCAAAATTATTCAACCTCATCAATAAATATTATAAAAGAGCCGGATGCGTTATACTGACTTTTCACATTCGCACCGACTCCACCCTATGTTCCAATATTTTAAGTTGGACTTTGTGAAGGGAAATGGGGCTGTTGATAAACGGATTTAATCAACGTTAACAATGTAAGATTAACGCAAAAGATTGCAGAAAATGAGATTTTTATTGAATATTCTGAAGTCGATTTCAATACAGGGAGGTCGGTTTTTTAATGTATTTCAAGTCGGTTTACAATGAGATTACCGAGTTGAATATTTGAGTGTGTATGATCTTTTTTCGAACCCTCCTCTCGTTTTCGGAACTGCTATTTATAGGTATGTCTGACACACATCCCTAGACAAATCATTCCCGTTTTAATGAAGATTTGACATCTTAGGGGCGGCGATGACGTAGAAGAACTTTTTAGGCAATGATTAGCATGGGCGCGCCTCTATCTGTGTGACGAGTGTCACATCTGTCGGATCGAAGTCGGTTTGTCTTGCGATGTCGGTATTTTGATTGATCTTCAATATTCTACGACTTCTTAATAAATAATTCTTTGACCGAATTGGCCTTTTTCAAGGTTCAGACGACTTGTGTTGATGACTTCCAAAGATTCCGCGGTATCATTTACGGGTACCGAGGTGAGATTACCGAGATGCAATATGTACTGCTTGATGTCGTCCAGAATTCAGTTTATGAATTAAACTTCGCGATTTCTTTAATTCTGTCATTATATCAAGATATTCTATCTTGATATCAACATAGAGGCCCCTGGCATTAAGAAGTATGCAGAGTATGCATGCTTTTGAATGACATCTTCTTTCTAATTATTGTCGGTTGCCGAGGTAAGGTAAGGATTTCCCGCATAAGTTTAAGCCGAGGTATTTCCCTTAGGCGAGACTCACGCCTTTTTGCTCCTTTATAAAAGTTGTCCCATGATGTAAGAAATTTATTGAGCGGTTTTCGAGAGGTCACGAACGTGGTGTCTCCACTACTCTTCATGATAGGCATGTACCGAAATTTCCGGACATTAACGTTGGCAGTTTTTGGGACACGCGTACGTACGAGATTATATCTGAACGTTATGTCACAGTAAAGGGGCACTTCTCTGAATTGACGCGTCATTTAACCACGCGCCTCTCCATCTTCAACGGTTAGAAAATTGCGAGTGTATATATACAGATAAATTCACGGTTTCTAGTCACTAAATCTTCATTTAAGCAACTGCTCTCTCAAACCATCTTTTGCATATTTCGCCTTTTCCCTTTCACCTTCTTCATCGTATTTCAGCAAATCCCGAAACCTTTGAGAGTTTACATCACTTTTCGGTAAGCCCTAATTTCTTCTTTTCGCTTTATAATTTCTTCGTATCGTTTTTTTGGGTTTTAATTATGGCGGCGAGTGGCGAGAACGTCGGTCCGGGCAGTAGCAGTCGAACTATATCGGACCAGAGGTTGGATGAGGAGTTGATGGAGTTGATGGGGGATTATTATCGGTAGGATCCTGTTTTTGTGGAACGTCTGGATATCCGCAAACGTGATATAGAAGGAGATGCCGAGGTGGAACGGGATGTTCCTGTGAGGTCGGGTTATTGGAATCGTCCTGCCCGTCAATGGCCCGACGAAGATGTTCCGTTTTTGGGTGAACCCAGTACCATGACCGACGCCGACGTAGTTCTCCTCCGCGAGT